ATTTCGAGCCACTCCGCTTCACGAGTCGAATTTTGCCTCGAAGAAGAAATTTTAAGTATATATATATATATATCTAATTTTCTTTTCTTTCATTTCTCAGGAATTAACGCTGTTCCTACGTACGAGACGTCACCCTATCTCGCAAGATTCTCTGCAGAGACTGCAGAAGACCCTGCGTAACGGCCAACGGAAATACCCGCCGCATCAAGTGGAGGTGGAAGCTATTCAACACAAAACCACGCAAATATTTCACAAGGTTTACTTCCCAGACGACACGGACGAGGTACTGCTACTCGTATTTATACAGGTAGAAAAGTCCATTTTGCAAATAACACGCAAAATGGTATGGGACTTCTTTGCTCAGTTTCACCCGTTCTACACGTACACCACGGGAACCACGAGATTAGTTTGGGACACCTTGTATACTTCTCGCGGACATTGCCTTCGACAATTATCAATTATCGCTGCTTTACTCGGTGAGTTACATTACAACTGTCGTAAATCTTTTATGCAGGCGTTCGAAGTTGACTCGTCCACCAGAGCGAAGGATTTCTGTCAGAACATCGCGCAAAGGCTCAACTTGCGATCCGCCGAGGGCTTCAGTTTGTTCGTCAAGATCGCCGATAAAGTCATTTCCGTGCCGGAAGGTGACTTCTTCTTCGATTTCGTGCGACACCTGACCGACTGGATCAGAAAAGCGAGACCCTCGCGAGACGGTGCGTGTGTGTTAGCGGCTTTCAGGCCCGTATCTTTCAATCGTTAATTGAATCTTGTCTCATTATCTGCTAAACGAAAAGTAGCTTCTTTTTGTACTGAGAATCTCCGGCGGACTCTGTCGGTTACTCTGGGATATTTTATATAAAAAGATGAAAAGGATAGAAATAAGTAAATAAGTAATAAATGCATGGTCAGTCAAATAAATAGTACGATTATATAAATAAATAAAATAGATATAGAAATATACATAAATAAATAAAATATGCAGTGAATTAACTAATAATAAGAAATTATATCGTGATTCAACTGAGAAAATTGTTGTTGGCAAATCAAACTCAGATCCGAGTGTCTCGCTCGGATAAACTTATTTTATGTAACGATTGTAAAGTGTCAGTTTTATCAGCGCAAATTATAATTGTACATATTCTTGTGTCAATTAATCGACGTTATGTACCGATCCATATAGGGATATCGCCGCAATTCACGTATCAGGTCTTCTTCATGAAGAAGCTTTGGACAAACACAGTTCCCGGTAAGGACAGAAACGCCGACTTGATCTTCCACTTCCACCAAGAACTTCCCAAGTTGCTGAGAGGTGAGTAACGACGCACACTTAATTTCAACGGGATATAACATGTTACATCCCTATAAGCGCGTAATATTATTTAATATTGAGTAATATTTCTAGAATATTAATAGGTAGATATATATATATATTTTTTTTTTTTATTTATATATATTTCTCTATATTATTATTATTTTTTTATGTTCTAAGAACATTTTTACAATCGTGAAAAATATTACATAACATTCTTAGAATATTACAAGAATATTATTTTAACATTTAATAACATTCATATAATATTCTAGGAATATCACACGCTTATAGGGATACAGTTATAAATTTCGACTCATATTGCTATTTTGCTGAATGTTCAGGCTACCACAAGTGCACGAAGGAGGAAGCGTCGAGGCTCGCGGCTTTAGTCTACAGGGTGCGATTCGGCGAGAGCAAACAGGAATTACAAGCGATCCCGTGAGTGCGATTTTCAACATGTATACCCTTAACATAGCTTCTGATCTTAGCGAGATCAACCATTAACTGCTCCGATTCCAGACAAATGCTGAGGGAACTTATACCGGGCGACTTGATCAAGATACAAAGCGCTAACGATTGGAAGAGATCCATAATCGCTTCCTACAACCAGGATGCCGGTGAGTACGACGAGAGTTCGAAGAGACGAAGAGAGTGACGAGAAAGAAAGTTGAATTTTTATTAAAGTATCCCCTCTCTCTTTCTCTCTCACCTTGTTCCAGGCATGAGTCCGGAAGACGCGAAAATCACATTCCTCAAGATCGTGTATCGATGGCCGACGTTCGGTTCCGCGTTCTTCGAGGTGAAACAGAGCACCGAACCGAATTATCCCGAGTTACTGCTGATCGCCATTAACAAACACGGCGTGAGCCTCATACATCCTCAGTCAAAGGTAAGACTAACAGCTCGCGATTAACATGGAAAGAAATCCTCACGATCGTCTTTCTTCTTTCTTCATCTTTAGGACATACTAATTACGCATCCCTTCACGAGAATCTCCAACTGGTCGTCCGGCAACACCTACTTCCACATGACGATAGGGAACCTGGTGCGCGGCTCGAAGCTCCTCTGCGAAACCTCCTTGGGCTACAAGATGGACGACCTCCTGACCTCTTACATCTCGTTGATGCTGACGAACATGAACAAGCAACGCACGATACGGATCAAATGAACGGGAACCATGCGACTACCACGTTGGCATGGCTCCATTCCGACGATTTCTCGCTACTGACCAAGCGAACGAACAGGCATTCCGCTGCGAGGTGCTGAGGCATAAGTCAGGCTCAATGATCATTCTTCTTTATATCGCTTCCTTCACGAGCGCTCAACTTATCCTCGTATAAGCTCGTAATTCGATGACGACTTAGTTCGATACATCATCACCAAACCGTGTGTCGTCGTGTCTGTCTCGATAGATCCTGCAATTCACGGGACTAAATTATGTTCAACGTTATACCTTGATGTACTTCATACCATGCATCGCGTATTTTGCTCATTTTTATATTACACGTCGCGTGAAATCCACGCGGGGACGTACGTTTAGATCCGTCGACGCTACATAATTTATATAGCCGTGAAACCTAGCGGTGAGAAAAAAAAAAGGAAACCATCTACTCTCACTCTTGTATCTGTTAATTTATGGTTCATTGATAATCGATATAAGGGGAATAGCAATTTATGTGTGTACACAAGCTGTTAGCCGAACGATTTGTACATGATCTATTTACCTTCAGAANCTTTTTCTCCCCCCCCCCCCCCTCCGCTTTTCCCACAATTCTCTCTGTAAGATATTACCGCTTAGCCATGTTTTCTCCGAATATCCGAAATATCGGTGAACGTCGCGCTTAGATTCGCGTCAATGTCTCATAAAACGTGCGTACTCTCCTCTCCCTCCCCCCTCTTCTGTCACTCTCGCATGTTAACGCAAATACGGGCATAATTAGCAGCGATCGCGCATAATTTCTGCTCGAATATGATTTCTACGCGAAAGTATCGCGTCGTAGATTTTCGAGCGACCGAGATTTTTAACCCGGTCGATGAAGTACGTAAGTCGCTTGTTTAAGTGCAATCTCCTCTCCTCGGAGTCGAAATTTCGCGAAAAATTACGAGTACACACACGATATATATATATATATATAACACGGTATATATTGCTGGAAAAAAGAAATTTGTCTCGGTGGTTCTTCTTCTCCTTCGCCTTACCGTATCTACTAATATAGCAATAATTTCGAAATAAACGGCTCGTGTAAGAATGTAATTACTATTAAATCGCTTTTTATAATTGTGAATAAAGACGACGACGACGGGCCACGTTCTTCTTCACGTGAAGCGCGAAGTACTAGCGAGCGTTAATCGTGGGTAAATTCCCATGGTATGTATACCGGCATTCCCTCCCCCCTTTCCGAGATCTCGTCGGGAAGACATTCCCAAGATGATCTTATCTCACTTCCTCTTGGAGATGACGGTGTTCGATTATCTCTCTCTCTGTCGCTCAAGAAAGAGGGAAAAGAGGGTCGAGCTGCGAGCGCTAATGGCTGGTGAAATGGCGGTGGGTTCGTTTGAAAGGACAGAAATTCACAGGCATCTCTCTTAACACGTCACTTATCTGCCTATATTTTAGAATTTATTAAAAAATTAAAAAGTATATATATATAAATATAAATATATCGTAAACTTGTCCTTCCCCTGTGTCAAGAAAGCGAAAAAGGTGCGCGATCGCCCGTCGTTACAGCCGTCGTGTCATATTCGCGAAGGTTCTTTACATCGTTTCGGCATGGAAAAATCGGTCGAGAAACGTATCGGTATCATAAGGACCGTATAATATAAGCTTTCGGTTTATTCTGAATTAATAAAAATTCATATCTATATGCATCGTATCATTGTATGTCTCAATGTAACTATAATAAAGTATATATATATATGTTTTGTTATAGTTACACTGATACATACGACGACGATGCATTTAGATATGAATTTTTGTGTTTCTATTGATTTAAAATAAATCGAAAGTTTATATTACACTATCATATATATTTCAATTAATGTCCAAATCACGCAGTGGAATTCTAAGAACGCTCCGTATTAGTATCGATTCACACTGCACGATACGGACCAGCACCGTGCTGCATAATCAAAATCGACCCTTACACAGCGAAATTTCCGAGATCGTTTGTTAAAACTCAGATATATAAACACGTAAGTTTCGTGTAATTTAAAAATAGCCGTTCACGCGTGAACACCTCTTTCATCGACGATTTCGGGATTTTCGGTAGAAATTAGGGACAAGTACAACGTTATTACAAGATCGTTCAGATTCGTCATCTATATTTCGCGCTAGACGTTATACACGTCACTCGGTCATCAGCGACGGTGATCGATCGAGAACCAATCTCACGTGTAGTACTTGAGGAAAATATCCGTAACGCAATAACTGTCGCCAGAAGAGAATACGCAGGATCTACGTAAAATCGTAATCACAATAAGTGCCGTATTTACGCTGACAGAGATACACATGCTGCATATATATATATATATATATATATATATATATATGCAGCATGTGTATCTCTGTCAGCGTAAATACGGCACTTATTGTGATTACGATTTTACGTAGATCCTGCGTATTCTCTTCTGGCGACAGTTATTGCGTTACGGATATTTNTATATATATATATATATATACATATTTATCTATTTATATATCTATGTATAATATATACATAAAATAACACGTACATTATATATATATATATATAATGTTGAAAGAAAATCCTGTAAGCCGCCGGATGTCTTCATGCGGACGATGATTGCATCATTGTTTCTCGGATATTTTGTAAAAAAAAGAAAAAAAGAAGGGAAATGAAAAATGTACACGAAATTCTACTGACTTACGAGCGTCTAAAGTCATCTCGGCGACATCAACACCACACCAACCCACATACATACATACATACATACATACATACATACATACATACATACATACATACATACATACATACATACATACATACACACACACACACACACACACACGCGCGCACTTACACTCGAGAGGTGCATCGGTATGCATCGTCCCGTCTCACGCATCTCCTAATAAATAACGAAGAGTCCGTCGACGCGCCGTGCGAATTTACAAAATGTACCAAATACCATCACGCGCGCGCGCGCGGCTTCAAAAATACACTGCGTGTTTTTCCGCTCCCAATGCTCCCTCTCCACCTCCCTTTTTGTACACGAAGAACTCTTCACACGCTTCATCGCTCGGCACAGTTCGGCGCGAAGTTTCCCGGTATCTCTCCGTCGACACAATTCCGTTCCTCTCCTCTCACACCTCTCCACCGAGAGATTTTTGTACTTGGCGGCGCGAGAGATTCCCAAAGAACCGTGTCGGTTGTTTGTTTTTTTCCAAAAAAGAAAGAAAAAGAGCCGCTGTACCGAACTTCTCCCGCGTGTGGCAGTTCTTCATCTCGTAAACAGACACCAGTGTTAAAAGCACAACCATCGTTCGGTGACCGATATGCAAATACGTATAGCCTAAGACTTGTGTTACTCCCCATTTATTACAATTAACGCTCGACTACGCGCACGCTTGTTTCCAACTACGCTCGCTGGTACTCGAGGGTTCCTTCAGCTCTTTCGATCCTTCTCGAGATACCGGACGGAAGAAGGAACGCCGTCGAATCGATGGGACTCCCAACAAGCACACGCAATCGAAGTGAATTCTCCTAATTCGGTAGTGATTTTATCGAATACCGATACGTTATACTAAAGAAGTGAACTGGAATGTTCACGAAATATCGGGAACAAATTCGTGAAAAACGTTAAATTAAGCGAATTTCTCCGTGTCGCGAAAATCTAAAGTATCACGTTATGTCGGGGTTAGAAAAGTTATTTGGATAAATAAGTCGGGAGAAAATGATTATATATGATTATATACAATTATACAAAATCATATATGAATTTTGCTCATATATGTCGATTTCTTAAGGCTTGGAGCTTAAAGTACCTATTGTAGACCGGAACAACCAACTTGAGTATTGGTTCTAACGTGAGATATTTCTGTTGGAGATTTTGTCGATTCGACGGCGTTTCTTTCTCCGAGACGCAACAATAAAATTTTAAAGGAAAGTGTGTATACGCTCGTGCGTAGAGAAATTATCGAGACCGATCTCGGGGGATCGATTATGTAACTTAAGATGCAGTGACAATTGGGAAAGTAGGCTGACCGTTCGACCGGATGACTTTTATCGAAAAAGCGACGATGTCTCACGCGAGGTTGTCCGGCGAATAATTTCCATGACATCGAACGATGTCGCAGAGGAATATCGCATGCTCACTTCGCGTATTTATTCGCGGGAGATGAAAGTATGAGAGGCAAAGAAAGGGTCAAGTCGAGTGAATTAAATGAATAATCTAGACGACATTCCGTTAATTACATGAAAGTAATGCTCGTAAATAGGTTGGTGGAGTAATCGAATCTTTTTGATTTGGGCTGACAGGTCTCAAAACCGCCTGGTAATTTTACGTAACCGTAACTTCAAGTCAATACAATCTTACCGAGACTGTCTTAAGTTTATCTTCAGTTATGCTCCGGAGATTCATCTCATCGGCTACGGAGCACCCGAAGATGAACTTGAGACGGTATCTTAAATATAAGATCTGATTGTGAGCACCGGACATTAAGTACGATGGTAACAGACGGTTGTGCCTATCCTATATCTCATCCCTGGGGGAAGAAATCAACTCGAACGAACGTGAACGCCCGAAGTCGACGAAGATACGCAAATCGATCCCCGGAAATCGAGCGACGATCTCTCTTGTTTATTCACTTCTCTTCTTCTTCTCTCGGAAACTCTACCGTCGAATATATTCGCGCTCGACATACCCGTTCGTCCGTACACACTTCACCGTTAAGCCGAGTCTTTACATTTCGCTATATATATATATATATATACATATATATATATATATATAAATTATTATCTCTGTAAATCTTCGTATCAACAACGTTATACGTCTATTGCCTACGTTTTAATACGCGCTTTGCGTTCCCGTGAGAGAGAGAGAGAGCCGGGCGGGACGCTACGTCTTCTTCGTCGTATCGTCCGGCGCCCGTGCGCCATTAGCGTTGATCTCGAGCAACAAGTCGTCCTTCCCGACGACGAGGAGATACGAAGAATCGTCGTCACTTTCACTGCCGGCGTTCTCCTCCTCCTCCTCTTCATCGTCCTCCTCCTCATCGAGGACGTCGTCGTCCCGAGCGGGACGACGCGCCGTATCACCACTACATCGTAGACTTTGGTTCGCGTTATGATGGTCTAGGAGACATCAGAGACCCGACTGCGGCGGCTGATGGGTGTTCCACGGCACGTCCGCGATCGCCGGCGGTATGCTCGCCTGCTGGTTGTGCATGGCGCGGGGGGCGCGCATTATCTCGTCGGCGGGCGGACAGTGCGGTCGCGGCCCGGGCTCGGGCGTGTACGTGAAGGTGAGGCCGGTCGCGTAGATGATGCCGTCGTTGCGCACCAGGGAGACCGGGACCTGCGTGGGCTGTCTCACCCAGAGCCACTCGCCCCGGAAGAGGGAGATGTCCGGCACGACGCAGAGCATGCTCTCCTGGCACCTGTACATCGTCTCGGCCTCCACGTCGCCGAACCAGACCTGCAGGTTCGGCGTGAAGTTGTCGCCGGTCAGCTCGAGCATCGCCACGTCGCCGCCGCCGTTCAGGTGGAGGCTGTGGACGAGCGGCACCGGCGTGACCGGCGACCTCACCGGTCCCATCCCCTCGAAGAACTGGTACTCGGCCTTGTCGGTGCTGATGATCGTCCAGCAGGCGCCGTCGTTGATCATCTCCTTGTTCGCCTCCTTCGGACACGGCGTCGCCTGGAACTGTATGATGCGCTCCTGCGACAGGCACAGGTACATGTGATCGGTGTCCTTCATGTAGAAGGCGCACTTGTGCAACTGTGAGACGGGATCGTCCGCCTCGAGGCTGGCCATCTGCTTGTCCACCTTGCGGATCACCAGCCGCGGCAGCGCCATACCGGTGACCGAGCAGACGAGCTTCACCGTGCTGCCGTAATGGACGTAACCGTCGCGCACCTGGAACTCCTCCGACTCGCTCTCGTTGTCGTCGAGCAGGTGGATCGTGAAGGCGCCCCATTGCGTCGAACTGGCGTGAAAGTTGCCGTTCTCCACGTGCAGGTAGCGCGTGCTCACCGTCTGCGAGCGCAGCCGATTGAAGAGGGCGACCTTCGTGCCGCTCGCGATGCAGAGATCGGCGTTCTTCAGCGACTGCTTCTTCTTGGACGGTTTCGAGATCACCTTGATACGCTTGCTGTGAAAGACGCCGATGTCGTGGCCGCTCCCGTAGAACATCTTCACGGAGAGCATGAAGTGCTTGCGCTTGTCCGAGTCCGAGATGTAGAGGGTCTTGGCCGCGCAGTACTGCTTGCCGTTGTTCAGATCCAGTTGCTGCATGTCCTGGTCGGAATTGCCGATGCCGATGAACGCGCACAGCTGGGAGCTCTGGTCGGTCTCCCCCTCGCGCAGCATCTGCTCCTGCCGCATCCTCCAGCCGTCGCCGAACAGGTAGATGCACGGCGGCGGGCAGAAGAAGCGCTTCTCGTTGCCGTACGACTTCTGCGCGACCTTCGCGTGCAAGATCACGATCACCATGTCGCTGCGATCGCGCAGGTAACGTTCCATCGCCTCGCGCGTCAACCGCTGGTCCTGGTGATCCGGCCGGTAAATGCCGGTGCCGAATCGCGGGTAGACCGACATTACTGAGGTCGGCGAGGGCGGTGATTGCATGCCGTGGGCCATCGTCGGCAGGCCGAACTGGTGTGGCATATTTAACGGTCCGAATTCGAGTCTCGGCGAAGGGGACGATCACAGGCTGCTGCTGCTGTTGCCGCGGCGGTCGCCGTTACACCTGCATCTTCCAAGCGCGCCGCCCGATGCCGCCCGTGGATTCTCTACCTACGGCGAGCACGAATGTGTATGAAGAAAAAAGCTCACTTGAGAGAGAGAGAGAGAGAGAGAGAGAGAGAAACATACGTATATATTTCTGAAATATTATTTCATTATTTAGATTATTATCTGGACTATCTAGACTATTATCTAAAGTATTATCTAGACCGATTTTTAAAATTATCTACACTATCTAGAAAAGTAAATAACTTACATAACAGAAATTATAATGAAGTATAATTACCGATTAAATAAGAGAGGGCCAGTGTCCCGCATGGGAATAACGCGACAGTGGCATTCAACGAACCGAGATGAGAAATTGACGAGAAATCAAGCACACAGACGAGAAGCGGTGACATTAAGCGGAAATCGTGCGATTAATCCAACGATTAAACTTAGACGGTACATTTTTTTTTCCTTTTTACATAAGCAGTGCGAGCGGGTTATATACAAGAAGGCGGAAGGCGTAGAATTCGAAATGGATGTTATCGCCTTACCGGCTCGAAACACGGTGGTGATAATGTATTCGCGTTAATAAGCAATAGCGATAATGCCGTTAGTCGCTCGTCTCGATTAAAGCGTAGCAAGCTGCATACAAATCGCTCCTCGCTCGTTTGAAACTTTAGCGTGAGAAGAATTTTTGCTTTTTGCGGGACAGGACGTAATTAACTCGAGATATCTTTCTTCAAATGAGCTACAGAGAATTGCCGGTCTTGGCGCAGGAAAGAGGAAACGTCCGCATACGCGCATATACACACACAAACACACACGCATATCGTGAGAACCAAGCTGGGCTCATTTTTCCTGCATGAATTAAAGCACCTCCCGTGTTTGCCGTCGCAGCCATGTGCACGTGGGATTTTATATTTGCAACCGAAGGAGAGAGAGAGAGAGAGAGAGAGAGAGAGAATGAGAGAGACGCGCATATATATTGTAATAACGATCAATAGCGCGCGATTTTCCGAATTGCGTTGCGTTCAATCAATTAATCGCACGAAATCAACGCCATTGCGCGTATGCAAGTTTCATCGTTTTCGCATCAATTACCTACCTCGCGCAGGAATGATCGTGATTCCTCTTTGCACCGTCGTTTTACCTTCGACACGGAGTCTCATGAAATCACTCGAACGAGTGGAAACGAAATTTCTAGAGATGGAATCTGTGGCCAACGGAATTTTCAATGGAAACATACGCACACCTTCAATGGCACCTCGATGGCTACAACTCACGACAGACATGATATCCACGGAAAAGGAAGATCATACAAATGAAATTTGCCCGTATACGACTATGTATAATCATATACGTTCACAACGGAAAAAATACCGTTGTTTTACAACTTACATGCAAATAGAATCGAAGTAAATGCTCCCGGCTACTTGCGCTTCTGACAGCACATGACATCGACATTTAATTCAATGACGTAACATCATTTTTCTTTCGTTTCATTAGACATGCGTGATCATATTTGTAACCACATATACGGGCGAAATTCACATACGATTTTATATAATTTTATATAATTATATATAATCATTTTTCCCCGGGATTAAAAGTAAAAACGACGTAATGTGTAAGAATGTTAAACGGGAGACGGTGGACGGTATCAAGAATGGTGACAGAGCAATATAGTAGCGATGCGGGTAGGGAATGAAAATAAATAACAAAATATGTATGTATATGTATATGCACACGTGTGTATACAAACATGTGTATACAGTTGTATATACAAATATATATGTACATGTATATACAGATATGTGTGACCTGAGGTATCAGGACTCAAGTTTAGTCCACAACGGGCGGTAGGAGTATGTTCATAAGAAGTAAGAGTAAGGAATTGACCGATCATAATCGAATGTAAGGAGAATAATAATCGACCACGTTCGGTTAATTTCTTACTCTTCTTACGAACATACCCGGGGAAGGAAAGAACATACGTGAAATCTGCCCATACACAACTGCATAAAATCATACATGTCTGCAACGGAGAAATATCGTTGTTTTACAACTTACATGCAGATACAATCGAAGTAAATGCTTCCGGCTACTCGTGCTTCTGACAGCTCATGATATCGACATTTAATTCAGTGACGTAACATCCTTTTTTTCTCGTACAGACATACATGATCACACATGTAAGCACGTATACGGGCAAAATTCATATATGATTTTATACAATTATATATGACCGTGCATAATCATTTTCTCCCGGGTACTCCCACCGTCCGTTGCAGACTACGTTTTGAATTACAGTAAAATCCCAAATAGTGAAGCCCCGCTGCTCTCAGCTGTAAGCAAATCCACGGATGGAGCTCCCGCCTGAACATTCCAGAAATAGAAACGAGTGAGTGAGTGTGCGCATTATTCAGCAAGAAAAGCACATGACATACCGATTCCAACCGTCTTACACAAGAAAACGCATACAACATACAGAATACACACACATGCACAGAACATGTACAAATATCTCAGGGCAGGCTCGCTTAGATGTCACAACACGATTTGTCCTATGATTTGTCGGATACACGTTTGTCAACCGAAATCGCGAATATGTGATAAACATTGAGCCGAGCCAACAATAACATTACTCCATCGGTGATATCGACGGCGTGCGAGCAGCGGAAGCTCTCGGCAGATTGCAGAAACGAGCAAAGCACGAGCGAGCGAGCAAGAGAGTTTTCTCAAGCTGTACCCCTCGCTGTCATTTTCGTGCGGACAACAATTGCCGTGTGAGAGCCAGAGAAAAAGGGGGGAGTGTGTGTGTGTGTATGTGAGACGACGACGCCGTGAGAAACACACCGAGTGCGATTACTCGCCCGGCGCTGAGAGAATACACAGCTGAAGCGTCGTCGTTAGGGACAATCGATTNGGGGTGCGGGGAGAGAGAGAGAGAGAGAGAAAGAGAAAGCCGATGGCGAAGCAGCGTGCGAGCGAGCGAGCCGCATTTGTTTATATTTACTTTCCGGCGAGCTTTACTCTCGAGCAAACGAGAGGGCGAGTGAACGTGCGAGGTTAGCGAAGGTTAGCGGACCGCCAACAACACAGAAGCGGCGGGCTACGTACAGGTTAGTTCGAGTCTCGCATTTGCACTTACCTCCTCATCGCAGCGTCCGACGAGGCGCCGAGCACGGCGGCGTGCATCCTCTCATCCGCTATCGATCATCCGGAGAGAGCGGCCGGAGAGTCCCGGCGATCTCTCTCTCTCTCTCTCTCTCACCGTCCTCGCTCCTCGCGGAACCTTCCTCGTCGCTTGTGTTTTCTCTCTCTCTCCCTAATCCATTCAAAAAACACCTGTTCACTTGCCGAATTTTCCCAACAGTTGTGCCAACCGCAGCGAGCGAAAACGGCGGCGACACTGGCGACGACAGTCGCGACAGCGGTCGCGCGCGCGCGATACTTCGAATTCGATTCGCTCGGCGCGCAATTCAACTCTCCCCGAGAGATAACCTCTCTCTCTCTCCCCTTCCGCGAGAGATCAGGCGCTTTTAGAAGAATGCAACGGTTGCACAACGATTGGACAAATTCGTCAATGTGATTGGTCCAAAGATTCGGAGATCCAACGGTAAAAAGCCAATAAAATCATCGACCGTTCGCACTGATCGCTTGTGTTTCCCAAACGCAGCCGTTTTCCTCACTGACCGACGACCGACGACGCTGCGTGAAAATCGGCTTCTCCGCACGATCGCGAATTTCACGGTCGTTAGTCCCGGTCTACAACAGACGTTTTAAGACCTGAGCCTCAAAAAATTGACCAATCACGTCGGGTCGTATCGTAGAAGAGAAGCCAATTGTGATCGGTCAGTTTCTCAAATCTTTACGCCTTAAGTTCTCATTGTAGACCCCCCGCTTTACACGAAGCGTCGGGCGCGCATCCGTACGTGTATGTGTGTGTAGAAATCGAGAAGTTGGGAAGAACGTGTGTGAAGGGTGTGCGCGAGATCGATCGACGACGAGTCGATCGGCGTGAAGCTCTCGACTCTCGACAAGCGCGCAATCCCGGGTCGTTCGTAGCGCGCAGTTGACGGGCGACTAAATGCGGAGCGGATCGCGCCGACCGACGTGGAGTTATTACCGCCGCGTAAGTGGCTGCGCTATAGACGTGCGGAGGGAGCGAGAGAGAGCGAGAGAGGGGGGCTCCGCGCCAGTTCATAGGTTCGCGCTCCGGTCCGAAATATTCAAAACGAATGTCGCAGCGGCGAGAACACGTTCGTCCTACATTAGGTCCTTCGAGCCCTGGGCCTTAAGAAATCGACCAACCACGAGTCGAATTATAGAGGAATAATCGATTGTAACTGGTCGACTTCTCGAGGCTCAGAACTTGAATTCTTCATTGTGGATCCCGCTTTCCGCATCGTCAAATGATGCCCCCCCCCCTCCCCC